AAAAGATCCCCACACATAGGGACCCGGTAGTATACACAGCATCCTAGGTCACAGATTCTATATATCCATTTCCCCCTCTGCCTTGAAGAGATGGAGGAGAGCAGAGAAGGGTGTGGACACTTAAAGACAAAAGAAAAGGAACAAAGCACTGTCACTTTCATTAGATTCTCTGTGCCTTTCCTTATTTAATCTTTCGGGGTACTAATCAGTACAATGGCCACACAAAACTGTATTAGTGTGTGTGTGTGTGTGTGTGTGAGAGAGAGAGACAGAGACAGAGACAGAGACAGAAAAGAATGTGGAGAGAGGGAGGTAGGGAGGGAGAGAGAGCATTCATACAGAGAGAGATATAGAGAAGAATAGGGAGAGAGGGAGGCAGGGAAAGAGAGAGGGAGGCAGCAAAGGAAAAGGAAGGAGGGAGGGAAGGGGGGGAGAGAACACAAACTCAGTTATTTAATCCGGCTCCACACACTGTTCACTGTTCAATGAAAACTTGCAAAATGAATTCTTAATTTTCATTGGCTGGCTAACGTAAGGCACTTTGGAGTTTGTCATCTGTCTCCACGATGATAGAATTTTTAAGGTGTTTAATTTAGCAGGCAAGCTGAATCATAATTGCCAGTAAAGCATACCCACCGGGGTATAGAGCTTCCTGCCTCTTCATCATGCCATGTCAAGTTGTATTTCCTAAGGTGCTCAATGGGTTGTCATATGTAAGCAAGGAAATGCAATACAACACAATGCAAATTTAATATAAGGCATCTCTATTTACACTGAAGAATTATGTTTACCATAGAAATTAAACAACAATGTGTCCGTGTGCCATAAAAATAACGCACCCAGCGAATATTGATGCTCTGAACCTATTTGTTTGTTTTTTGTCAGTGAGGCTTGGCAATAAGAGTATCAACTGCATGCTGCCCCCAAGGTTTAGATACTTATTGAGTGTGGCAGATACCTCCCTATGTGAATACTTGATCCTTCAATTAAAAAGGAAGAGAGAGAGAGAGAGACACTCCCATGCTGAGGAAGATGCCTTATTACTGTTATGCTCGCCTAAAAATGGCATCGAGAGAATCTAAAAAAGGCTGTGCTTGGGAAATTCTACCTGACAAATTGATGGGAGGTGTTTCATAAAAGTTAACCAAGATTTGTTCCAAACTGTCAAGCAGTTTCCCTAAGTGGCTCCCTGAATTCTGGAATCCATTGCACCTGCTATAACTGAGCACTAACAGAAAGAAAAATAGAATGATGCTTGGTTGTGGAAATAGTTATTTCTAAAGGAAACTAAGAAAATACACAGTTATTTCTTTAATCCCAGAAAAAAAATCATAACAGACATGTGAGTATTTGGATTTTGCCCATAGGAGATTAAGAGTGAGGGAGTAAAATTTTCTCTGTTATTTTTATAGGACTGGTTGGAACCTTATGCTGGGGACAAGTCTGCAAAAGCTAGAGGTAGACTTAGGGAAAAATCATGAGTTTCTGCCATTGACAGATTTTTTTTTCATACCACATTCCTTCTTAATTAACAGTCTCGACTTTGAGTAATTAAATTGTTTAATTCTTATTAATCCAATTTTCTACATCTGTACATGGGGATATTGTAAATTTCATGGGCTAAATTTTGGAATTAAAGTACTATCATAGTTAGCTTTAGCTGTCAACTTGACATAGTCTGGAGTCACCAGAGAAGAGGGTCTTAATTGAAGGATTGCTCTGATTGGAGTGGCCCATGGACATCTCTTGTGGGTGCTTGTTTTGACTATTAAATGATGTGTAAAGGAGCAGCCCACTGTGAGCGACACCATTCCCTAGGTAGGTAGTCTTAGGTTATATAAGGAGGCTAGACAAACACAACCCAAGTGAACTTTCCTCCATAGCTTTTGGTTCAAATCCTTCTAGAACTCTCATCTTCATGGTACTCTATAGATGTCTTCAGAAATAAGCACAGCCCCAGATTGTTAAATTATTATAGGGGTACAACTATTTTGGGGTGTGTGTGTGTGTTTTGGTTAGTTTCAATTGTCAACTTAGCCGGGCGGTGGTGGCGCACGCCTTTAATCCCAGCAGTTGGGAGGCAGAGGCAGGCGGATTTCTGAGTTCGCGGCCAGCCTGGTCTACAGAGTGAGTTCCAGGACAGCCAGGGCTACACAGAGAAACCCTGTCTCGAAAAACCAAAAAAAAAATAATAATGATAATAATTGTCAACTTAATCTTGGTCGATTATGAAAATAAACTCATTGAGGAATTGTGTAGATGGTATTGGCCTGTGGGCATGCCTGTGGGGATTTTCTTAATTGGGTTAATTAATGTGGGAAGATTCACCAAGAATGTGGGTAGTGTTATTTAGTGGGCCAGGCCTGGATTGAATAAAACAGATCTAGTGAGCTATACTCTGCTCTAACAGTGTATATGACTAGATGCCACAAGTTCATTTTGACTTCTCTGTGAGAGAAATTAGGGGATACAATGAAGTCAAGAGTGAGCATGGGTAAAAGCCAAGGTTTGCAGCTAATAGAAGTGGGTGATGTCATTAGGAAGTGTGTGACATAAAAGAAAAAGCAGAATGAGAGACAGGGGATGGGATGAAAGGCCACCGTGAATATGCTGAGTTTCAGATGGGACAGAAACCAATGAAGATGGCAATCGGGACCTGGGAGGGTCCATTTCCGTTGTCAGTGTGATGGGACCTGGAGTTGCCTGTACGTGGAGCCGCTGGGCTAGGAAGACTTATGTAGATTAATGTAGCCTCTGGGCATGCTTGGGAGAGAGATGATCAAGAGTGGGTTAATTGACATGGGACAAATCACCCTAATTGTGGGTGCCATTCTTCCACGGGTTGGAGTCCCAGACTAGATCAAAAGAGAAGTGGAGCCAAGTGTGGCCAGTCACCTCCAGCCACCTCAAGCTCCCATTGCCATGACTGTGATGAACTAGTTCCTGGAACTGTGATCCAAAATGAAGTCTTTTATCTGCAAGTTGCTTATCTGAGGTTTGTGTCTCAGCAAGGACACAAGTAACTATTGCAGTGTCCCAAGGAGGAATCTCAGACAGGTAAGTTTATTAATATTTCCCAGCATCCTCACTGACACTTGTCAAAAACCCTGGGATGGAGCCTGAGAATCAAATTCTTAAATCAGTATTACCGACAAGGTTCCAGTAGGCGAGTTTGAGAACTAGCACTGGGCATCATTTGAAAGTTTCTTTGCTACCTTGAGATGGGGCCTACAAGGGCAGTTTTCACAAGTTACAACTGCATAAACCAAGTCTGGACCCTAACAAGAGACATACCATCTATTCAGGCTTTCTCCTGGAAATAAATGAATGACTCATGCATTTGGTCAACTGTGGGAGTGCTGGATAGATAATTAAATAACATTAAGTCCAGGTCAAATGATGTAGGTGCCATGAGAAAGGCATTGAAAGAGTGATCATGTGATCAAGAGTAGTGGGGATTCTTAAACTCAAGGAAGGCCAGTGTGGCTAACCTCTAAGGCCCTCTAGAAGAGCAGCCATGATCTTCACCACTCAGAAATCTCTATAACTCCTATAACCGGTCTCCCACCATGGAAGTATAGAAAGTTCTACTGTGATTAAACACATTATTCTATCATAAACATGTTATCAGAATATTCCTTGTTTCTTGCTCATTGGAAATATTTAATAAATGCTTCTCACATACACAGAATATAAAGGGAAGACCCTCAAAAAACGAGAAAAGGGCAGGCAAGACAGGAGAGCAGAACAGGAGAAGACTGAGTAACGACTACCAAACTGGGAAGATGACTGTGTTCTCTGCAAACCAGGTAGCTGGTTAGGAGCTATCCAATCAGAACAAATCAGTAACATTTCACTGACACCTATGGACTAGACAGATTTCTTTGTGGAGTCAGAAGTGTGACAAGGATTTTGGCTGCCTAATATAGTATTTTATAGACATCATTTATTTTTATTAAGAAGGTTGAGACCACACAAGAGTAGCTTCTGTGACAGAGAGAAACACTCAGTCTAATTACAATAACTCTCTCCATTATCTCAAATATAGCTATTGCCTTGGCTAAAAGTTTAATTAAGAAGAAATAGTGTAATTCATAGTAAACACGAGGCAATCTGGTAAAACTACAAGGTTTTTTGTTTTGCTTTATTCTTTCTGGGTATGCTTGTAGAAGCCACTTCTGTTTTCCACAATGAGACATTTAAAATAGGTTCTACAATATTAATATGTTTTGATGTTTGTCACAAAGAGGGACATGATTTGATAGCCCGTTTCTTCTGCCAAAGTTAAGCAGAAATCCTATGTTTGACAAATCTTAATGATATCTCCAATAACTGGATAAATAGATCAGTGTCTGAGAAAGCCTAATAAATGTCTTTATAATGAGGCTTTGTTTTCATGGTGTTTAACTGGATAGCTCTTAATTCTCTAAATAGCACAATGACACATACATCACATGAGAACACAGTGCACCTTAAGTTAAGTATAAGTATATGCATGTTTAATGCATGCATTGTTAAACTCTCCATGTTGAAATATTTATAAACAGCATTCTAAGGGATATGAGTTCCGAGTGGCCTCTTTTAAAATAAACTTATTAACTCAGAAGCATTTGCAACGCACTGTGTACATGGACTCCCCACCTCTTTACTTCTCCAAGGAAGAACTCATGGCCACTGAAAAGGGAAAGTCACTGAAGACAATGTCACTCTCAAAGCTACATTCTCCCAGAGTCTCCATTTGTCCCTGTCCTCTCTCCTAGCTCTCACTAAACAATGGCATGCAGTACACAAGAGCCATCAAGAGGGAGCACTTTTGAGCCACCAAAACTGAATGTCAGCCTAAAAAAGCTCACTCTCCCTCACTACAGGATAGTATCTCAGGTATTTTATGTGCTAAAATGATCATTAAAAATTAAGTACCACATATAAGCTGCCATTTAGAATATTAATTTACTTTTGCTAATCATGTTTTTAACTTCAGGCTAAAAGAGTTCACTCACCATTCGGATACTCAGGTTCTGTCCAGGAGATGTTAAAAGAGTCTGGTGAGTATGAGTGGACCCTGGGGGCTGGCACACCTTCTGGAACTGCCTCGGCCATCAGGGCCTGGCTGGGTTCACTTGTTGTGCAGTCCCCACTGGTACACACCTAAGCCGGAACAGAGAGACACACTTCAGTCCTGACTCATAAAGTTTAGATGAATGGCAACAACTCATGGGAGAGCCCCAGATTCCACTAAAATAACATTCCCTCTGCTGCCTCCGACTACATTTGTTTTCATGATGAAGGACAACATTTAATTAGATTGCTTTTTAAGTCCTGAGAGTTCATTTTCCAATAAGCTCACAATGACCCAGGGTACAGGAAGAACCAGCCTAAGTTACAGCCTAGAGACGTAGGCCACACACTGACCTGGTGAGCAGCTCTAGACAAGTGTGAGAACCCTTTCAAAACTAACCAGATGGCCCTGTGGCACATGGCTTAGTGAGTTAAGCAGCTGTGCTGCAAGCATCAGGACCTGAGTCTGGATCCTAGACAAGCATGGCAAACTTCTCCTGTATCCCCAGCATTTGGAGGAGATGGGCCACTGGGGCTCACTGGTCAGCCAGTGTGAGAAACATGTAAGCTCTGCAGTCAGTCAGAGAACCTGTCTACAAAATAAAGTGGAAAACACGTATGACCCCACCACATCCACACACATCCAAGACACATACGTGCACACACAAAAAGGGGGTTGGGTGGCAACCAATAAATAAGTCGATAAATAGCAAGGTGGACAGCATATGAGGAATGATGTTCATGGCTGATCTCTGAACTCCACATGAATGCATACACGTGTACATCCCCTCACACATACACACAGAGAGGGAGGGGGAAAGGCAGCAGTAATCCGTGTCTTCAGAACGACCTCTCATGAGCTTAGGCACATTTCATACAGATATGAGCATCATCCATGGACACAGTTGCATTACACTAGAGGCCTAACCAGACTCTGTGGGTTTCCCTTGGTTTTCTGATGCTGGACACACAGATACATGCAATAGAAGAACTCTAGTCCTCTTGAAGATGGTGTGTTTACCAACTAGGTGGAATCAGCTGGCCATGTGGCCAAACTCTGTGGTAAGAAGCCACCTCTGACCCAAGAACCAGCTGCCAGGATGTTTAAAAAAGGAACTGAGAACACAAGCATGTAGCCTACATGCTCCAAGTCTCAGGAATTATCCAAGAAGTGGGCCATGAGTGTCTGAGCTGTCAAAGCAAACATGTCAGAAGACCACCCTGCTTCTCATAGAGAGGGAATATGTAGTTTCAGATTTTTTATCCCTTAGATCAAAGCACGTGGCAGCATATGCTGTTGAATTGATCACAAAGTGAGATTTAATTCTGATTGCTATCATTTTCTTTCTCATTTGTGTTTATATTCCAGGACTTTCCCCTGTTACCACTCTCCAGAGAAATACTGTGCTATGTGACATATACAATTACATTTATTTAAATGGAGCATAAACTAAAATTGGCTTTCTTTTGAGAGTTTTATGATGCTTTCTAAAGTAAATACAATGTCCTCTTTGGGAGGACTGTTCCCTGGACAGTCATCTGAAATCTGCAAACTGGTTGCTTGACGAAGAAGCACCTGGGAGTGAATGAGATGCTCTTTCTGGCCAGTGAGACAGGATATAAGCAGTTGCTGAAACAACAAAAGTATCTGAAACTTGATCTCAGTTCTGGCATTTAGAGGACTCTTCTTAAACGTGCATCCGATTGGTCTGATGCTGATTGAAATTCTGGCTTAGGAAAATAAATAAATAAATGAATTGATTGAAGATGTCTTTATAAAGCAGAGAGGACGGTGAAAGCCTGCGAGGTAGTAAGCTATTTCGACCTATTTCCTACAGCTTTTAGTCAATCATAGACACTTGAAAACAAAATTCACAGTGTTGTAGTGCCATCCCCAATAGCTACGTAACTTCTGATCTAAACAGCCTTTGTTTGGTACAATAAAATGTGTATGAAATCTAATTACAGTGACAATTTTTGAAATAATAACTAGTAGGAACTACTAAAGATAACATTCTTATTTTTTTTCCTAGTATTTTTGTTTTCAGATAAGCAGGGCCCAAGGGAATGCAGGATATTTTAAAGCATGAAGGATGAAGAAATAAAATACCAAAAACCAAAAAAAAAAAAAACCCTAAAACCCCTCACAAATGCTTTAACTGGTCTTTTCCCCCCGAGAAGTGAAGCCCGAGGCTTAGGGAGAGAGAATAATCTGGTAAAGTGCCCACTATACAAGCATGAGGTCCTGAGTTCAGATCTCCAGCACCCATGTAGAAAGATGGCTCGGTGGTGTGAGTATGTAACCCTAGTGCTTTGGGGAGGATCTCTGGAGCTTGCTGTACAGTCTAGACAATAGATGACCCCTGAGGTCTTCTACTGGGAAGATTCTATTTCAGAAGATCAAGTCAAGAGAGAGAGAGAGAGAGAGAGAGAGAGAGAGAGAGAGAGAGAGAGAGTAGACAGACTTCATTGATCACTGGGCTCCACATACATGCACATATGTCTGCTCCTACTTTAATACACAGGCATAATCATGTACATATCACACACCCCCACACACATGCACACACACACAGTCAACCTCACTATTTCTTTTATTTAACATTTACCACATGACAGTATTTTCAAATAGTAGCCTCTGCCTGAATTAATACCATCTTTCCATAATTGTTAACTTACTGTATTTATTAGGAACCATTAAGACCTATTCAACTTCAACATACATGTCACTGCATACAAAGAGTACAGGCTGTGGAAACTCACATCTCCAATACCAACGTTCTAAAAGAAATCATGGAGTAGTATTTAGAGACTCAGACTCTATACAGAGTGACTGCAGTGGGTAGTCGTTCATCCATTCCCACATGAGCTGTCTCTGCAGCACCTTCTCTCCAGCAGGTACTGTCAGCCCTCTGCACAGAGGATTAGGGAACATGCAGTTTTTCTGCGTGGAGGTTGCTTATAACCCAATCTAATGAAAGCATTAAGTGGAGTGACACAGAGTAGCTCTGTGTCCTGTGTGTTTGATGTGCATCCCAAGGGTTCAAATCCCCAGTGGGTCTTCCTCTGTTTCAAAGGCCACTGGAGGGCTTTGGTGTCTGCGTGTTTTGTTTCCAACCACTTAGTCAACACACTCAAACAATCCATAAAGGGCACTATGCTTTGTTGAACACCTGCTCACCACCACTTATCTAATGACCTTGAGAGCTGGTTATTATATTGAGACTGTGAAATATACAATAATCCGTCAATTAACCAGGATGAACCTAAAATGTCGTGCTTCATTTAATTTACTGCTTAACTGAGTTAAGTTAAAGCAAACAGATGGAAAAACTTTTAGTTGAATACTTCCTGAAAAATGCACTAGGGTATTTTCTGTCCTGACAAATACAGTGAAATCAAAAAGCAAATTTAATTTGAAATTAAAAAGCAAGTTTGTCTCTGTAACAACCTTTAAGGCACAGGGACATCCATGTCTTTATGACCTCCGACATCAACATCACTCAAGACCCGACACATATCATAATCATTTGGGGTTACCTTTTTTAGCATCTCAGAATTTTAGGGCTCTCAAAAAGACATTAAAAATTATTAAATTTAATGCCCTAATTTTCGTCCTGAAAAAAAAAACGAAAGTTGATGTGCCTCTGTATACTTGCCTTGGGTTATGCAGTAGGAAAATCTGAATTAAAACTCAAGGGAACAGACCACTAAGTCATTGGTACTTAGTTTTCAAGTTATAACAAAATTAAAAGGTCTAGGATATTGAAGTGGATTTTGATTGACTGCACAGTATATCCTAGAAATCGCCTTAGGAACGGAACATTTTAACGCCACTTACCTCCTGACAAAATGCCAGATTTCAACAATTTCTGTTTAATCTTGGTTGCTTCCAAGCAACGGAGACTGACCAGGGTTTTCATGTGTACAGCTGTTTTGAAAACAGTGTGGGCTTCACGATTAGCTTTTGACAATCAAGTTCGCACACTTCTTAGCTTTTCGGTGACATGACTAAAGTAACCTGAACTGTCACTTCCCAATTCTACATGCTGTGCTGAGCAGCAAGGCACATGGGGCCATTTGGAACAGGGTCTCACATTGTCTGCCTGCCCTTGTTCTGTGCTGTCAAGGCAGACAGTTAACAACAGTGGGATGCAGTTTATTTTCTCATGGTATAATATTTTGAGCATTCACGAGCATGTTAAGTAAAATGAATGCGTACACAGTGTCTACATAAATGTAAATTTATTCATAATCAAGAGCAGAATATTTTCTATGGCATTTATCAAAGCAAATACCCTCATATAGGTATTGCCATAAAATGAAGAGGGTGTTTAAAACAAATAGGGACAACCTCATGTTTATATTCAGTTATTTTCAGATGTGCTATTAAACTTAAAAAAAGATTATATTTCATCAAAAAGCAAAAGGAAATGGGAGTACAAATTCCACAGCAATATCAAGGTCTTTTAAAAGACCTTCATATACAGAAGTGCCATTTAGCATTAAAAATGCCACCTTCTTCCCAAGGAAAGCTCTAACTGTTGATTCTGGCATTTCATCAAGTGACTGTTCTTCTGAGGGGAAGTTTAATATAAATCACAGTAAAATAACAATCAAGACTATCTTGGGGTCATTTGAATCTTCATTTAAAAATACAAGATCTAAATTCATACTGTGAGGAGTTTTTCAAATGAATACAAGCACCACAGGAAACCACCTTATTAATCTAAGCATTTGGGGGAAAGCTCTCAACAATTATAATGTCCTACAAATAATAAAAAATTAGTTGTGAGCATCTCACCGTATTTTGAGGAAAATCTCCTAACTCGGATGGTTATTTTATCCTTTCAAATAACACAAACTAAACATGCAGGTAATCAACCATTACCTTTAGGCTGTGAGGGGAATTTTCAGTATAAATACTATGGTTAAGGCTTTTTGGTATTTTGTTAGTTTGTTTGCCTTGGGAAGGAGGAAGGATGGGATGAAGAGAAAGGAAAGAAGTTCAGTTGACTTACTCCCAGCTTGATGAGGTATAGACACCCAGGGAAAAGGCGGTGGAGCACGTGAGCCTGGAGGTTTTCTGTGCTGTTGTAGACAACATTCCACACGGTGGAGGTACGTGTAGGATTCAGAGTATATAATATGTAGCGCTCCAGAATTCCATTTAGTTGCCTTGGTTGTTTCCACCTTGAAAGGAACAAAAGCCACAGCATGTCAGCACCATTGATTTATGTCTAAACAGAGACATATAGGGTTGGTTAATGGTCGCACAGATATTAATGAATCCTGTGTAAAAAAAAACCTATGTGTTGCTTTTTTCCCCTCAAATGTAATTCTCTCTAAAACCACACATGATTGTAAAATGCTTATTCATAGAATTTTAAAGGGAATGTGACATAGACTTTGTCTTCTAGTTACTTACTTATTTTGTGCGTGTGTGTGTACCTCTTTGTCTGTCTGTTTATTGTCTGTGCTTGTGCATTTGCAAGGACTCACACATGTAGAGGCCACAGGAAGACATCAGGGTTCCTGGTCCATCACCCTGTTCTTTACTCCTGTACACAAGGTCTCTCATAAACCCTGAAGCTAGACTGGTTGAATAACAAGCAACAGAACCCTCCTGCATTGCCCACCAGTGCTGGGGTTACAAGTATGTGTGACCACACCCAGTTTTTATGTGTGTTCTGGGGATTTGAACTCAGGTCTTCATGACTGTACAGTAGGTGATCTTAGTGAGCCATCTTTATAGACCATTGTTATTTAAAATAGTTAACAATATACAAATGTACATGTTTTTTTATCTTGCCTTTAGAATATCAGACAAAAATTGGTAAGCACAGAGCATCTGAGTACTCCCAAGGAATGTGAGAGAAAGAGCAACACATAGCAGTCCTGACAAACGTAGCAGTCCAGCACAGAGTGAGGAGGTAGTCCCAGACAGAAACCCAGGAGAGATGAGGGAATGGGCAGGGCTACTTGGTGCTGTGAGGTTTTACATCCAGATGGAGGATTTGGATGGATGGAAGCAAGAAGGACAGGCACTTCAGAGGAGGGTCAGAGGAGGGTTACAGTGTCTTGGGGATGAGAAGGGCCAGATGCAGAGCAGACAGAAGACAGCACAGCCTAGAGATCCTCAGGGAAGTGGGGAATCTTTGGAAACAAATAACATGGCTTGTCTGAAGGCAACTGAGGGTCAAGACAAGAACTTGGGCTCAGAACAACAACAACAACAACAACAACAACAAAATGAACAGTAAGCTCTTTAATTTGAATGAATGCCATAATTTACTCAGTGTTAACATTTTGCTCACAGATGAGAAAACTGGGAGTAAGCAATAAAACAAACAAAAACAAAACAAACTATAAATTGACGCTAAGAGAAATCTACTAAATTTTAGCTCAGCACTTAGACCTCATAAAATGAGTAGTGAACAAAAGTCGCTAACATCGAAGAATAATCTAAACATTTTTAAAAGTCAAATTCCTGTAAGACTTGAAGTACAAGGGAAGGAAGCTGGCTGTTTTTGTAGAGGGTCCAGGTTTACTTTCTGGGACTCCTGTGGAGGCTTACAACCCTTGGTAACTCCAGTTCCAGGGGATCTGATGCCCTCTCATGGCCTCCTTAGGCACCAGTCGTATGTGATGCGCGTGTGCGCTCACACACACTCATACACACACACACACACACATACACACACACACACTAAAATAAATCTTTAAAAGAATAAGTTATATATGCACATACATATGATGTATGTATCATTCTACTCATTCTAATTTATTACAAACTACCCCCTGCCTATAAAGACCTTGACAGTGGATAAGTAGGTGGTCATTTTTCTTTTACTGACAACTGCACAGAAGTTGCATACACATTTAGCTTGCCCTGATTGCCTAGAGACAAAAGGAAGATTATGTTGACGAGTGATAATCAAAGGTTCCTAGAACCCTGGCCTAATCATTTCTCTGGATTTAATCACAATACAATTAGCCTGATGTCACAGCCCTGCTGAATGAACTCACTGGCATTCTTACGTGAACTGGCATGTGGAAGACACAAGAGCTCTACTTACTGTACATGTATAGTTCTAGAATCCAGGACAGCCAAACCTGGGGCATCCACTCGCTCTGGTGGCAGCTGTGCTGTGTGCAGGATGACTTGGGTGCTGTTTGTGCACCCCACATGTGTGCATGCACCAACAATAATCTTGTGGGTCGTGAATACTCTTAAATCTGGAGGAAGGGAATGAATCAAGAATTTATTCTTTGTAATACATTTTCTCAGAAGAGCTCACTCACCTTCTACATTCTGACCTCTAGGAATTGTTAAAATAAAATAAGAGTCAACAATTATGAAAGTCAGCAGAAATAGAACAGGTTTCTTTTGTAAATGGCATGGCTGCATTGAAGGAGACCCGTGTTAGTCACAAGTCCATCTGACATTTTCATCTTAACAATTTGTTTTCTTGAATGTCTATGATCAGGTAAATCATTTTCAGGGTTTAGTCTTAGTTCAAAGACTCTGTTAAAAATAAATGAGATACTTAAATTATTTTGAAGACAACAGGAGTTGCTTTTAAAATGCAAATATACAGCCTGTAACAATGGCTTTAAAATTACTTTTTTCGTGTCTATCTGGATATGGTCTATATATGACCTTCAGATCATTCGATTTGAGTGTACTTCACGTGTCTGATGTCCCTGACATTCTCCAATGTGACTCTGGCACAGGCAGAAGCTATCCTCTGGTCTTGTGTGTATGTGTGTGTGTGTGAACTTTATTCATATCTCCAGGATGACAACACTCATGGCTTCTCAGTCATGTTGCTTCTTTACCATCTAATACATGTCTGACATGTTAGAGGCTTTGGGTATACATAACAGAATCAAGGAATACAGAACTATGATCAAGATGAAGATACAGTTGAGCTAGGTATGAAAGGCAACCTTGTAAAGTGGGTAGTACCCTAACCAGAATAATCTCGCCTTCCCTTGAGCTTCTTGGGCATTTCATATCTAGTTACTTTCCTTGTGACTACCACATCCTTAATGAGAACACACAAATCTATAATTCCCCAACTCCATCCTTAAGTGCCCTGAATTCTTCACATATAAAAATACTCAATACTCTTGACTAAATTTTGGCCCAAGTTTACCAAGCGTTAGATATAATTTGTACTTTCACAATATTAAAAATAGTAATTTTGAGAAACATCATTGAAATATGTCATGATTTAAGTAACACATATTCTTAAATCTCATTAACCTTGAACCATTACAATTTCATGTTTAAAAGATTAATGAAATGCAACCTAATTCAGGCAAATAGATTTTTGCATTATACTGATAGCAAAAGTAAACTAGGAAAGGCGTGCTGATTTTCATGCAAAATACAATCAATTGGTTAAGCATGTAGGTCACCAGAAGAAAGGCAATCCAGTAATTTTGTAGCAAATGTTGTTTCAGAACAAAAAGAGGTCACCAAGATGACACTCAGTGGGCTTCGGATCAAACCTTGCCTCTTTCTAGCTTCTATATTGTATCTAATGGTGCCATGCTGACACGAGCCACCCTCATTCAGTGTGGTCAGAGGAACAGGCAAGGACACACTGAAGGTGATCAACCAACACAGAACACTACTGCTCTGAGAGGTGATGAGAGTAACTCCATCAAAAGTCACACTGTGACCAAAAGTAACTTGAGGAGCAAAGGGTTTGTTTGGCTGACACTTATGCAACATTGTTTATCATATAGGATGTCTAGGCAGCACAACTTACCAAGAAACAAAAACAAAAACAAAAACAAAAAAACACCAAAACATCACCACTGTGGGTAAAACCAACAGAGAATTAGGTTCCTAGAAGTCATATTCTTATTGATAGCTTACCCTGATGGTGTGTGTATACACACACACACACACACACCACACACGCATGTGTCTATGAGCTCATGGAGCCCAGATGCTGACTACAGGTATCATCCTCAATTGTTACCTTATTTAATTCTATTTTATTTTATTCTTTGAGCAGGGGCCTCTGGCTGACCTGTCACTTTGTGATCCTCTGTAAATTGTTGCTTTTAGGTGTTTTGTCACAGCAAGAATAAGAATACACGATACATCCGATGTGAAAAAAGTTAATTCAAGGAGCAACTTCTACCCACAGGGCTACTCTGCCCGATCATATTGTGCTGTGCAATGACACAGTCTACTATAAGTCTAAGTCTCTGGTACTCTTCCCTTTCTGTCCCTGATTTTCAAGAACTTAGTGACTTTTCTCTTTCTCTTCTTTCCCATGGGTCTGAATTCCTTATATTTTCTGGGAAGGAAAAGAGAGGGGTTTCATTTCAGGTGTGAAAAGTCAGGATGGCACAGAGCTTAGGCTAAGAGTCACAGTCCACAATACATGTGGTCTGAGTGACTGTTTAATAAATCTTAGTCATATCAGAACATCTTGGTTAACAGCAATTGAGACATGATACGGGCATGTCCTTTGCTCAGTAATCATTGGAATTTCCTTTTCTGTTACATTCTGAACGTTAAGGCAGGGGTGAGGCTACGGAGTTTTGCATTGGGTGAAGAAATAACTTCATCCAACAACCATCTCTTATGCATCCTTTACACCTGGGACTTCATTACCTTAGCTGTCACCTCAGTGATTATGTTATGACTGAACATAGTGTCCCCAACCTGTAAAATGTTCTGTTCTCCTGCACACTGTCAACCCATGCCTGATGACCTAATGTCAATGCACACAGGCTATCTGCCACAGATGGGAAGTCCTGTAGTAAGAGTAGCAAAAGGGCTGTTTTCTACACTTGGATTATACAAGTTGTCTTCCTCTTTGGGTTGGGAAGCATCCATTTCTATGACTGTTGGGACTGCAGATCAGGATGAGGAAGTGACTACACTCAGGAGGGTCATGTTTAATGTAGAGTGAGCATGATTCTAGTTTTAGTCCATTCTCTGCTCCTTGGAAGAGACACTGTGACCATGGCAACTCACTTGTTTTTTAAAAAGCATTTAATCGGGGCTTTCTTATAGTTTCAGAGATTTAGTTCATTATCGTCATGGCAGGAAGCACGTCCACATGTAGGCAGACATGGTGTTGAAGAAGCAGCTGTGAGATCCACATCTGGATCCACGGGCAGAAGGAAGAGAGAGAGCCACTGGGCGTGGCTTAGGCTTTTGAAAGCCCAAAGCCCACCCCAAGTGGCACAGTTCCTCCAACAAGGCCACACCTCCTAATCCTTCTAAGTAGTACCACTCCCTAGTGACTGGGCATTCAAATCTTTGAGCTTACAAGGCCATTATTATCCAACCACTACAGCTCTTGATGCAGGATGGAAACAGAAGAACCTATCCTTATCAAATGCTCCAGTCAGCAATACAGTTCACTCCAACGATTCTGTATCATAAGTACTCTTCTGTTTGTGGACGACCAATGCATTTTATTTTAGGACAAACATGCCTTTAATGTTCATTACATTTGGAACTTAAGAATGTTCATATTGAACTGCTCCTAGAGACCTTGCATGTATAGCTGTTGTGCCACATGTATATCAATAGGTGGCAGAGAAGAGAGAGGCTATGTCTACACTCAGTGTTCTGACCTATACATATCTGAATAATTAGTAGCCTAACATTCTTCCAAAAATAAAAAGCAAGCCTGAGGGTGACACCAGTCTGTTGCCAGGGCACTAGACAGGAAGCCAGCCTGAGATGACCACCAGTCCTGCACTGTGTAGGCTTGGATGAGCTCCCAGGATGGGGAGCAAGCCAGAGACTAGATGAATCCTGCTTGGGACCACAGGCCCCAGGGACTGAGCCCGAGATAGACAACCATGAGCAAGTGGCATGGGGCCACTTGGGCAGGCTGGGAGAGGAACAAGCCAAGAAGACCACTAGGCTGGAGCCATGAGGTCCAGATAAGGAGTTAGCCTGAGATGAGTGCCAGTATAGTTCTGTGAGGTCTAGGTGGCAGCCCATGCCCCAGATGACCCCTGCCTGGTGCCATGATGCATGAGCTAGACACAGCATTCCTGAGACCACTCTTGAGACAACTTCAGACTTTCAGAGACCCTGGGTTCCACTAAAAGAAGCAAGTGAGTGGTAGAGAAAGAGAAACAGAAGGATGTGGGTAGTGGAGTGAAAGATAGATAGATAGATAGATAGATAGATAGATAGATAGATAGATAGATAGATAACTAGAGACTCAGGGTTAATCAGAAACAACCTGACATGAAGTGGAGAGAGGGAGAGAGAGAGAGAGAGAGAGAGAGAGAGAGAGAGAGAGAGAGGGCGCTAAAGACTCAGGGTTAATGAGAAACAACACGGCATGAGACATGAGTATCTGGGACCATGGTGGGTCTTGGCCTGTGCTTCTACCAGGGCTACATCTGGTCTGTCCACAGCTCTATAGCAGCAGAGGTCTGTTACCACTAAGAGCAAGATGGATGTCCCTGGTCTGGGCTTGGGACATGTTAATGTCCAAGGGCTGTGCAGAGTGGGCCCCATCTATCACACAGGCATCCTAGGAGAGCTGGCCCTAAGGCATGAGAGCAGGAGAGCTGACCCCACCCATAGGCAGCTTCAGTACACTGGAGAGCAGGCTGTGCACACAGTAGGAATTGCATGTGAGCCAGCCTGGAGGATAGGAGCACAGGACAGCTGGCCCCACCAGTAGTCTCCCCCATGGATGAGGGAGGCATGAGTGAGGGAGAGAAACCATTCTCTCCTCTACCCCCTCTCACCACTACCTGGGAGACCTGACTCTGGGGTTAAGAGAGCAGGAGAGCTATCGCTGATCCTTTACCAGATGCAGTACTCAAGACAGTGGGCCCTGCACCTCACCTGCGCAGCTCAATAGAGCTGATCTTGGTTACAGGGACACAAGTGAACTAACCCGAGGCATGAGTGTGGGAGAGCTGGTCTCAGCACTTGTCTACTGTGCAGTGACACAGGCAAGGAGAGATACCCCTTACCCTGGCCCCTTGCCACCTAAAGCAGCCATGAAAGTTGGTCCTGAGGTCATCAGAGCAGAAGAGCTGGCCCTGTCCCTCACCTGCTGCAGTACTTGGGAGAGCTGGCCCTGCTCTTCACCTGGGCAGCACAGTAGAGCAGACCCTGAATGTGGGGATTGTGGGTAAGTTGGCCCCAAGGATGTGAGTGTGGAAATGCCAGGCCTGCCTCTTGTCTGCTGTGTGGTGCCATGAACAAGGAAGAGATCCCCTCTCTCCTCCTCCTTTTTGTCAACACGTGAGGCTGGCAGGAGAGTTGGCTCCAATTTGGTCACGAGAATAGGAGAGCTAGCCCTCCCCAGTGACCAGCTACAACATTCAGGAGAGTGGGCCCTGCACTGTCCCTGAGCAGCACAGCAGATCTGGCTCTGGATGTGAGTTTTGCAGGTGACCGAACGGCAAGGGGCTGAGTGCTGGAGAGCTGGCCCTGCCTCCTGCCTGCTAGGAGTTGTCACAGAGATGGAAGATATGCCCTCCTCCCTTCCCTTCTCTCTCACTATCTATGGCAAGTGAGAAATCTGGCTTTGGGGGTCATAAGAATGGGAGAAAGCATGTTTCTCACCAGTTGTAACACGCTCGAGCTCTGTACCTCACCGGTCAGCAGGGTAGAGCTGGCTCTGGTTTCGGGGGGTTGCTGGTGAGCCAGGCCAAGGGTGTGAGAACAGGAAGGCCGGGCAGGGGGGTGATGACAAGCTCAGATACCTTTCAGGCCCAGATCTAGGGTTTTGAATTGACCCACCCACCATCTACTCCATCAGTGAACTGTTGGAGTGCAGAAAGGGGCTGCTTCTATATATCCATAATTACAGGCTCTCCATTACACAGGGCAACAAGGTATTCCAGAGAAGTAACGATGATGCAGGATTGATAGAGCAGCAGAAGCCAGAGGCCTCATAACAGATCTATGAGTCATTAACGAACATTTGCAAAGAAGTGTGGACAAAGGGTACACTGTGGGACACACTGTGGCACACTATAGGCTCCACAAAGATCTCTCTCTCTCTCTCTCTCTCTCTCTCTCTCTCTCTCTCTCTCTCTCTGTCTTGATGGAAAGTTGCAAGAATGTAAGGGAGGTATTGGGGAGGGAGAGATGAATAGGATTGGAGTGCATGATGTGAAATTCACACACACACACACACACACACAAACACACACACACACCACACAATAAAATGTTTTTTTTTAAAAATAATCTTTATAGTTCAAGTGTTGTAGCTCATATCATAGTCCCAGTACTTGGGAAGCTGAGGCAGAAAGATAGTTGTAAGTTTAAGCCCAGCCTAGGCTATATAGTGAAACTCTGTCTCAAACATAAAAAGTAAAATAAAAGAAAATCACACATACACACACACACACACACACACACACACATACACACACACACACAATTATAAATAATATTGGAAGTTATATCAAACTTGAAATAGTAAGAAGAGTCAGGAGAGCCAGTTGGTTTGAAAGGGGGAGTCGATGGCCATCTCATTGAGGTGACAGACACTCAAACAGAGACCCTCAGCCAGTGTATATGGACATGCCAGGTATTCTGGAAAGGGCACATTGCGGGATTAGGCATGGCCAGAACCATGGCTTTCACTCATGAAGGTATACGAGACAAGAGTTAAGGACAGTGGACCTTCACAGATTTTGTTCTCAAGGAAAGTAGAGAATTGAAACAAGAGACAGAGGATAATGGGCAAGTGAAGGGATTTAAACATCTGAGTAAGAGAAAAACTTTGTTGTGTGCATTAGGAACGATCTGAAGAAGAAAAATTTGAAATGAATGAGAGATCCAAGGTCTCTTGCCCCCATACTCTTTCATTCTTTTTAGAAAATGTGAAAGAATTGAAAGGGAAGAGTTGAATGGAGAAGGGAAAGAAACAAGCAGTCAGTAAGAGGAAGGAGATTATGTGGGCGAAGGGAGTGCTGTTAGGGATATGGCAGGGTGAGGGTGGTGTGGGGGTGCAGTGGGGGTGGGGGTGTGGTGTGGTAGGGGTGGGGTATGCAAGCTGGATCCTCAGCCAAGAATTCTCTTGGGCTTGTTTGGAAACAGCAGTAATCACTCTCCCAGAGGGGCTAGGAGGAGAATAAAAAGGGAATGAGAGATGGGGAGGAAGTTCTGAATTGACCTAATACTCTTAAACTGAAATCTAATACTAGTCCATGAGACAGCTACTGACTTAACAGCCACCCACTTCTCATTCCCATTCATTCATTCCCCAGACACAACTCTGTTCCCCTTACAGCACATCTGGGGGTCTTTGAAGGTGTGCTCCCTCTAATTAAAGTCCATTTACTTCTTTGTTGTTGGATGATCTTTGCTTATCCTCTGGGCTGATAGTTCTTTGAATAGTCTCTTTGATAGTCAGACACAGCTCACTGCTACTTCTTCTTCCCTCTTTCCTGATTTAGTTACGCTTTATAATTATCAAAACAAGTCAAATTAAGTTGCCATTGATCCTAACTTTATATCCCTATCAAGGGAATGGAGACCCTTTGAGTATAAAATATCTTCTATCATGCTGACTATATTTTCTCCTGATTAAAGTGATGCATAATGAAAATATTTTTGATTCATTGACTGATAGATGGACAAGAGCAGAGAAAGAGCTCAATGCCGCCATTTTCTTTCTTTAGAAGTATACTAATAAAAGTCTCCAAGACTGTAACACAACTGTCAAACCAATGGAGAGAAGACGTGCCTTTAGAAATGATGTGGCAAAGCTGTGAGTATCTGAACATCAAACACAACTGCCAAGCACTTAATGCTGCAAAACAACACCACAACAAAACAAACAAACTAGCTGGATACAGAGGCTGATGAACATGTAGCTTACTATGGAACAAGAACATGCAGGTAACTAAAATTAGGGGTAGTTACATGTGTATTGATGTTGCATGATATACACATATGATGTAGATGGGAAATGGCTGAAGGATATTAATATTAATTTATTACTTAGAAGAATTTATGTGCGAAACCTAGTTAGCACTTGGCCTACTCCACCTCTGATGTCACATGTCTCCTTTCCTCAATGACTTCAGCATTGGCTCAGCTTTCTTTTCAATCTTAATCTCCCTCTTGGCAACTTCAACATCCTCAATAATGACTCATCTCTGAATTTGGCTTCACTTTAACTTCCTCAAGTGCAATGCCCTTCACCTCGGCTTCATTTATCCACTGTCCAGCATAGCTCCACTCATTACTTCATCATCTCTGGAACCATCTCCAAGATTCTAAATCCAAAACCTACCCTATGAAGATACAAGCATGTTGCTGCTCACCTCTTTAACCCATCACACTGACGCAATCCCTCCTTCCCCAACTAACCCCACTTTTTTAGACTACCTTATTCCCAGAATATTCGTCACTGCTGCTGCCTTTCCCCTCTATGGCCTTGGATGACCTGATATAAGGTGATATGCTCTACGTACTTGCCATTTCTCACTGTTGTGGTTTGAGAGTATAATGTCCCATAAGTCACGTGTTTGAGCACTTGGTTCCTGGATGACCACATGGCTTTAGAAGGTGGTGAACCTTCCTGAGGTGGAATTTTACTAGAACTGGGTGATAGAGGCATGCCTTGAGAATTTACACTCATATCCACTTAGTGTTCGTTCTCTGCTTTA